AATGTTGCTCCCAGAAGGCTGGGTGCCTGTCAGGCCCCTGAGCTTTAGACTGGTCCTACCAAGCTGGATAGAGCAGAGATAATCAGATTTCATTATCAATAGGTAAAGTAAGACCCGGACCTTTAAACTTTCTGCTTTTACCCAATGTCTGCAGATAGTAATCTTCCAAAGCAGGTTCTTGATTTTCTTTTCCATTAAAAAGAAAAAATCTGTTTAGCCTGGGCAGTGGTGGCACACGCCTTTAATCCCGGCAGAGGTAGGCGGATCTCTGTGAGTTTGAGGCCAGCTTGGTCAACCAAGCAAGTTCTAGGACAGTCAGGATTATCTCACAGAGAAACTCTGTTTTAAAAAAATCAATTTCATTTATTCTTTTGCAGTTTTACAAATGCCTATAATTCTGATCACTCTCCAATACCTTTCCCGCCTCACCCACCTCTTCCCCTTCTTTATGGCTTTTGAGTTGTTGGTCAGGGAGACTCAGTGAGCCTTCAGGTTACTATGAGTCTGTGTCGGTTCCTGTCAACATTATATTCATAACCACCACCCCTTGTATGGGCTACCTTCTCCTGGGTACTTGGGGTAAAAAGATGAGGCTCATGTCCTCAGAGTTCTCACTTTAATGGCAGTTATGAACATACACCCACTTCCTATGGGGAAGGCACGGGGTCTGTACTGTCACCACTGGGAGAGACAAGCCTCTCAAAGATGGTTGGTTGTTCATTGTTCCAGGTTTATTTCTGTTGCTGTGATAGAACAGTCAAAATCAGTTTAGGTGGGGGAAGGGTTTATCTAGCTCAAAATTTCAGGTCACAGACCATCACTGAGGGGAAGTCAAAGCAGGAGCTCAAGCAGCTGGTCACGTGTATCCTCGGGCAAGAGCAGAGAGAAAGGAATGCATTCTCACGTGCTTGCCTCTTACACCTTGCTGGCTTTCTTCAGGGTTGCACAATCCAGGGCCCAGAATGGGCTGGGTCCTTCCTACATCAATGCTAAGAGACGGGCTCAGCGGCCAGCCTGGTCTAGTAAATTCCACAACTGCGATTCTCTACCCAGGTGACTCTGGGCTGTGTGAGGTGAAAGCTAACAGCACACAACAGTCATCATATCGCTGTGAGACATGAGCAGGAGGGGCAGACTAGGTCCAGTTTCAGTTGAGAGAGGCTCAGGGAGAACACGAAGTGTGTTGTGCAGTGTGTCTGTCTGGGAAGCTTACCTGACCAGGACCAAGTACATGGGACAGAATAGGCATCAGGGGACCCTGGAAAGGAAGGTGGTGACTACAGATGGTCTCTAGACTGGCTTCTTAGGACACCACAATAAGGCCTTTGTTACTTTCATAGCTCCAAGTAATGGAGAGTTATTGTTAGTTGTTTCAGAGGCTGAAAACCCAAGAAAGACCAAGGTGACCGTGAGACCACACTTCCCCGTGTTTGTCTAGCCTCTGGTGGTTCCCGGCAGCCTCTGGCATGTCCTTGGCTTTTAGAAGCTTCACCCCAGCCCTGCCTCATTGCTACCTAGCCATCTCCATATAGTCTTCCTACCTGGGAAAAGGGGAGAATAGCATGACCAAAGTAAGAACATTCCTCTAATTTAAAACTGGTGTGTGTGTGTGTGTGTGTGTGTGTGTGTCAGCTGCCCTCAGGATCAATCGCATGGTCCTGCAAGGAGCCCAGGCCATAGGAGCTGGTCTTGCTGCAGCTAAGCAGGCTGCAGGCCTCTCCAGTCCTGCTGCTCTCGACTCCCCTGAGGTCCAGGAAACGGCCTCTGAACACATTTCCTCAGAAGAGGAAATTGCAGGAATTGGAAACGTGTTAACAACAACAATAACAATAACAGAATGAAGACTTTGTGGTTTTTGAATAAAAGCAATGAGCGAGGGGAATGGGGGTGAACAGGGGATCAATAAAAGCCACACATGGGGCCATGTGCTGTGTGCACCCGATTGGCCTCATTTGGGGATCTCATGTCACGGAGGTTCTGATACACAGTGAGGGTGGATCTGAGGTTCTGGGTAGCCCCCCACTTCCCTGCCATACGACACATGGACCTGAAGCAAACTTATGCTAAGCTAAGAATTTTTTTAAAAGTTTTATTTTACTTTATATGTATGGGTGTTTTGTATCGTGTGTGAATGTGCACCACATGCGTTCCTGGTGCCCACGGAGGTCAGAAGAGGAAATTGGATCCTCTGGAACTACAATTACAGAAGGTTTTGTGAACCACCACGTAGGTGCGGAGACCTGAACCTGGGTCTTCGGTGTGCTCATAGCCACTGAGTCATCTTTCTGCCCCTAAGTTAATATTTGTGATCATATAAGTGATACTAAATTAGAACGTTAGTGTCCATAACGTTTTGTCAGAACACAGCTGCGTACCCTTCAGTAACTGTCAGGGCTGTTTTTCCAAGCAGAAGCCCTCAGTAAGTGCTTCCCATTTGGTCTTGGGCCACAGCTTGCCACAGCCTGCAGGGGGCAGCAGAGAGCCAGACACAGCAGCAAGGCCACTTCCTGTGGCCACGGGAGCAGATGAAACAGGGAGGGCCAGGCTGGGGGTTAGTAGAGAGCTGTGCAGTAGGAGTCTGGGGTAGGAATGCATGTGGAAGCAGCCCCAAGAGAAGTGGGGTCACATTAGTTGTGGAGGCAGAGGTCAAGTGCAGGCTAGGTAAACCAGAGAGGCAGGAAGAAACGATATGCTATTTGGAGTGGAAAGAGCAAGGGCTGTAGGGCACGGAGGAGCCCAGGCGAGGCAAGAACACCCAGGACACCATGTAGGGCTCATGATTTAGGCCTAGGATGACAGATGATAGCATCAGATTTGAGGGTGTGGGAGAACAGCAGCGCTGGAGGTCGTGCCTCAGGGCTGGGTTTGTAGCCATCCAAGGTCAAGCAGGTAACCCAGGCTAGGGGAAGTGGGTGTTGGAGCTCACTGTCCTGTGTCTTGGCCGGGGTCCTTCTGGGTATGCATTGTGCCAGTTTCTCATCTTCCTTTCTCCCCTTTCCTTGCTCTCCTCTGCCTTCCTGTCCACCATCACCGTGCAGTGAAGTTGGCTCTCTCAGTTTCTACGCAGACGCCGCCATCGAGGCAGCTCTTGTAGATGAGGGGAGGGGAGCTCCATATGTTGCCTTCTGGCTTTACAGTTTAGCTGCCTGTCTTTGGGAGAGGCCTTTTGTTTTGCCTTGGAGAAGTTCTTCTTGGTGGACCAGCATAGGAGGGTGCTCCCAAGTTATTTTAGAACACTTCTATGAAGCCCCCAAAATATACACAGTCACAGAGGTTCAAAACATTTGGGCTGGGATAGGACTCAGTTGGTAGAGCGCTTGCCTCACGTACGGAAGCCTTGGGTTTGAGCCCTTACACTACATAAAATCAGGGACAGTGATGTACACCTGTTAGTCCTGCACCAGGGTTTGAAGTTCAAGATCTCCTCAGACTATCCTGGGCTACACAGACCCTGTCTCAAACAAAAGAAGACAAAAATCCTTTAGGTATGATTTTAAGATTCCGGTCTCTTCTGGAGGCAGCCCAGCTACAGATATGGAGCTGGAGCTACGTCCTGCTTCGAGGGTTGGAGCTTCACATCAGGGTTAACGCTAGGTGTTGTCTGTCCCTCCTAGAGGTGCCCCTGCCTGCCCGCTGTTCTCAGTACCCCACTCTGTCGTTGTGTCCTTAAGTAGCTCTGCTATCCAGATTTGTGCAATGAATTAAAATCTTCCAGGCAACACAAGAGCAGTCTTGCTCTCCCAGAGCCTTGGTGGGCCAGGCTGCATGGAGGTTCTAGAAAGTTCCATGAGCTGCCAACATGGTCCCATACTGTAGTTCCTCCCATCCCCCCTCCTTGCTAGTAGCTAAGAACCACTGTGGTCACAGGAACATGGACAGGCAGAGTTGTATTCGGGGAGGGGGTAGTGGTACGCGAGGAAATAAAAAGGGTTACTACGGCAGGTGCAGTCTGCTCTGGGAAATTATTAGTCACTAACTAGAAATAAGTAGATTACATTTTTTAAAGAGATTAGCTTAAGTCTTCATCACAAGGGGCATTTTGTAGGCAGCGTTTCCTGGGGGAAAGGGACTGGGGGACTTAAAGGATTGTTTCAAATTACCCAGATTTAGAAAATCTAATTCAACATTAGCGTCTCATAGAAGCAGTCCCAGACATGATGGATTGTGGGGTGTGTAGGAGAGTTAACAAGTCGGTGGTTCTCCAGGGATGGAAGGCTGCACAATAATCCCCACCATCCAGAATTACATTTTTAAATGATTTATTTATTTTTAGTTTATTGTATATTAGTACATTAGTACATTGATGTGCATGTATATCTGTGTGAGTGTGTCAGATCTTGGAGTGACAGACAATTGTGAGCTGCCATGTGGGTGCTGCGAACAGCCAGTTCTCTTAACCACTGGACCGTGTTTCCAGCTCCCTAGAGTTATGTTTTTATGTTCATTATTTTTTATATTTTGTGTATAGGTGTCTTGCCTGTGTGTGTCTATGCTCTGCATGTGTGCCCACAGAGGTCAGAAGAGGGCATTGAATCGCCTGGAATTGGAGCTGCAGATGGTTTTGAGCTGCCATGTGGGCGCTGGGAATCAAATCCAGGTTTTCTAGAAGATGAATCAGTGCTCTTAACTGCTGAGCCATTTCTTCAGCCCTATGTTGATTAATGGTGTGGGTGAGTGTGTGTGTGTGTGCGTGTGCGTGTGTGTGTGCGCCAGGTATGAGGGTACTGATCAGAGAACGACTTGGAGGAGTAGTCTCTCTTTGCACCCTGTGGATTTGGGGGATGAAGCTCACCTTGTGGGTTTGGTGGCCTTTGCCTGCTGAGCCACTTCACCTGTCTTTTGCAACCCAACTTTGAGCATTTCTGTCACCCCCCAAAAGGATCTGTCTCTTTTTAATACCACAAGTGATATTAGAATAATCTTAGTGTTTTGAGGCCAGTGTTTGTGCCACCTACAGCGTGTTCTCAGCCCTGACTGCCCTTGGCTTGTTTCTCCTCCAGGTAAACATGAGACGGCTGGGGCGAAGCTCCTGCAATCTTATCAGAGGCTGAGGTGAGTGCCTGGGACGGCGGAGCTCAGAGGACGTCCTGAAAGAGCTCATGAGTCCAGACCTCCAGAGGTCACTGCTTGGGAACACGACTTTTCAAAAAATTCAAAAGTTCTTGGAAAAGATTGAGATGAGCTTCCAGATTTATGAGGAACCTTCTAGCAATCCTATTGTTACACAGTGTTTCCCCCTCAGCTTCTCCTGCGATGCTGTAAAAAATGAAATAGCATTTTTGATGGTGCATCTGAGACCTTCTAAACCAAACAGTTGTGTTTATTTCCCTTCCTTTGGCATCTTCCCGGGTGCCAGGAATATCCCTAATATATCTGTGGGGGGGGGGGGGGGGGAATACCTGTTGCCCATGGCCAGTGCTCTGAGAAATGGTGGCCTCTGCACAGGGTTCTGAATCCCCGCAGCCTCGAAGCAGCAGGGGTCGCACTGCCTGTCCTGCTGAGGTTAGTGAGCGGCGCCGAGAATTCCCACGGGCGCTGACTTTTGTTGGCCCATGATAAAATTTATCTGGTCTCAAAACTTAGAACCTCCCCTTCCTTCCCTATACATGTAGCCTCGTGGTCTGGTCATGGCTATGTAGCCCAGACTGGCCATGAAGTTCTGGCAATCTTCTTACCTCAGCCTGCCCAGCACTGGGTTTACAGGCTGTGACCACACCAGCTTCTTACTTTATTTTTCCAGTCCCCCATTGGTTCTTTTAGCTCACGCTTCCAGTTTTTCTCAAAGTATGTTTAATTTTTTGTTTGGTTTTCCCCGCTTCACATTTGGCCCTTCTGCTGGTGTGGTTTGTACTAAGGATACAGAGTCCAGATAGGACTCCACATATGAAGCATGGGTCCAGGAGCAGCTCAGTGTGGGAGTCAGAGTCCCCTAGTGGCTTCAGAATGTGACGAGCTATGAAACCTTTATGTCCCTCTGAGACACCAGCACACAGCACCTGCACAGAAAAGCAGGGCCAAACCGTGCTGCTGGGCCATTTTCTTTAAAAGGGAATTAGACCCAAACAAAGCTAAGCACTCAAATGGTAAAGTCACACATTTGAATACATGTGAACTAGTAACTCACATAGATCTAAGGCATTATTGTCTTTTTCCTTGGCAGCAAAATCTCTGTGGTCCCTCCGACGCCACCACCGCTCAGCGAGAGCCAGTGTAGCGGCAGCCCTGGCAGGGTAACTTGTCTGTCGGCGGGTCCCTGGGTGGGAAGCAGGGAAGGAAGGCCAGGGGAGGCTGCTGGAGAATTGGGCCAGTGGACCTGACTTACCTAGAGCTGGAGCTGAAAAGTGCTTTCTTTTTCATTCCGTTGCCAGGGACCATCTGCAGTCTCAGCTGGCTCCTTCTGCTCGTGCCCTGAGACATCTTGTCCTGGCTCTTGTCGCAGCTTCCATCCCCGCCTCTGTAGTGTGCCTTTAAGTGTGTGTGGGTCTGACATGTGTACACAGCAGGTTGTGGGTGTGTGTGTAAGTGGTGTGCCTGTGGCGATGAGTCAGTGTTTGCTGGCTCTACGGGGGCCAGAACCAGTTCTGTCCAAAGAATTTAGCTGTGGGATCTCAGTTACTTGGTTCTCCACCTGAGAAGTGGAAATAACTGTCTCCCATGCAGGATGTGTCTGTGTGTGCTTGGAAACTGGAGTGCCAGGGAATTGTATGGTTTTGATTACCTGCATCGATTTGCGCATTAGAGGGAGCAGTTATGTCTTACGTGGGATAATATACATGACCATTTGAGTGATGGAAACATGTTCGTTGTTTTCCAAGTTCACAGACACCTTGGGGATTGTGTTCTGAGGACATATTTTTGGGTGAATGGATGAACTCTGGAAGGATGGATAGGCGGATATATGGGTAGCTGGGTAAATGGATAGGTGGGTACATGGGTAGATGAATAGGTGGGTACGTGGGTAGATGGATAGGTGGGTAGGTGGGTAGATGAATAGGTGGGTAGATGGGTAAATGAATAGGTGGGTAGGTGGGTAGATGAATAGGTGGGTAGATGGGTAAATGAATAGGTGGGTAGGTGGGTAGATGGATAGGTGGGTAGATGAATAGGTGGGTAGGTGGGTAGATGGATAGGTGGGTAGGTGGGTAGATGGGTAGGTGGGTAGATGGATAGTAGGGTAGAAGGGTAGGTGGATAGGTAGGTAGGTGGATAGGTGGGTAGATGGATAGGTGAGTAGGTGGGTAGAAGGGTAGGTGGGTAGGTGGGTAGATGGGTAGATGGATAGGTGGGTAGGTGGGTAGATGGATAGGTGGATAGGTGGGTAGGTGGGTAGGTGAGTAGGTGGGTAGAAGGGTAGGTGGATAGGTGGGTAGGTGGGCAGAAGGGTAGGTGGGCAGAAGGGTAGGTTGGCAGATGCATAGGTGGGCAGATGGATAGGTGGGTAGAAGGGTAGCTGGGTAGGTGCATGCATGGAAGCATATATGATGGATGGATGCATGGATTGTTGAGTAGGTGAGTGGATGGGTACATAGAATGTTGAGGCAGGTGGATAGACAAGTAGAAACTGGATGGATGGGTGTGTTGACAGACATTGGACACATGGATATATAAATGGATGAATGGATGAATAGGTAGGCAGATGAGTGGTTGGGTACATACAGGTAGGTGGATAAAGAATGGGTGGACAGGTAGATAGATGGGTAGACAGTGAGTGGGTAGATGGATGGATGAGATCTGAATAAAGTTACTGTTTTCCCTTTTCTATGATCCATTTTGGGAGACAGTACTCTGTCCCTACGCTAGTCACCTTCCCTCTTATGGTACTCTCAACCCCCATGTCACCTGCATCCTGTACCTTCTACATAGAATTTGTGGAGGGCTAGGAAAAGAAGGTCAAACAAGCAGTAATTAGCTCTGAGCCAATGAAATGTCAGTCATCCTAAGAGGTAGTTGTCTTGTGAACTACCTATTGATAGCGCTCCATCCTTTAACAAGGCTGCAAAACACAGAGGAAGATGGCTAAGTGCCAGGGATGTCTACTTCCTGGGGGCTGTGCATCCCTTCCCACCCCTTCCTGCTTGTAGTGTTGGGGGCTGGCAGCCTGGAGATGGTGGGGCAAACACAGGTGGTGGGCTAACAGCTCATTGTCCCGTGTCTGTTTTAGTTACAGGAACTTGGTCACTTCAGAGGATTTAATAAGTCCGTGGAAAACTTGTTTCTGTCTGTCACCACCCAGATGAGAAGTAAGTGATACTCAGGATGTGTTCTTCTATCCAGCCCTGTGCAGGTCAGCCCAGGCAGCCGCAGGTGGGAAAGCCGTGGGTCAGTGGATCAGCCTCTGGCTCCTTGAGGAGAGCAGGCGCCATTTCGGTCTATTGGCCTTGTTCTGACTCCTGCTTGTCTTGCCCAAACCTTTCCAGCTCAGCAGCACAAAGAATTCCAGAGGAATGAAAACAAAACACAAAATACCTAGCAAAATCCAAAACCTTGGCTTTTCTGGCTTTGCAAGCCCAGTATCTTCCACATGTCCATTCTTCTTCCTGGTGAATTTCAATGCAGGCATGGCCACAAACTCCAGTGAGCTTTCTGGCAAGCCAGAGGAGACACTTTTCAAAGTCGTAGTTACTTTTGGCAGAAATGTCATAATGAAGATTTTAATTTTGGTGGAAGATAATAGATTTTGCCTTCACTTTTGTGTCCTTAATATCCAATTTGTTACTACATAACACGATGGGGATGTTTTCATACACACACACACACACACACACACACACACACACACACACCAGATTTCTATGCCAGTTAGGCACATTCTTATAACTCACTCTTGACGATACATAAAACATTATAATGGCACACTGGGCTTGGATGTAGTAGCCATCACGCAGGCCCCCAAACCACTCCTGGCTGGCTGTGTCCCACATGTTGAACCTGATGGGTCCTCTGTTGTCATGAAAGACCAGCAGGTGCACCTCCATGCCCAGGGTGGCTACAGACAGCTTCTCAAACTTGCCAGTCAAGTGGCACTTCCTGGTGCTGCCGTCGCCCACCAGGACAAGCTTGCACTGGACCTGCTGCTCTCCCTGGACAGCCGTCATGGCAATCCTTCCAGAAGGGTCTCCACTCTCTTTGTCTTCATTTACCGCCCACTTTCTGCAGTTGCCTGTGATGGTCTCATTGTTGTTATGGCTTCCAAGCCAACTACAACTGGATTTAAATTAGTCATCAGTATTCCACACAAGCCCCACCACACAGACAGCTGAGATGAAAGCCAGGCTCTTCCCATCAGCAGTGGGCTGTCTTGGGTCTCTTTCAGGAGGAGGAAATAGTTGACTTTCAAGGGCCTGTTTGCCCCTCTGAGGATATCAGCCTGGCTGTGACAGCGGTCTGTTCTCTGCAAAACTGGTGTTAGTCCCATGACAGTCTTCTAAATCAGATCCCTCCCCAAGTCCACGTGAGAAACACCGCTCTCATTCCAAAGGGTCAGTTTGTTCTGCAGACAAAGATGCGTGGCTCAGGTTACCCCAAATCCCACAATGAGAAGCAGTAAAGGTTTCATGGCAGTTTTGTGGTACCAATACAAGGAAAGTCATCAATCAAGAGCACTTTTCAAATTCACTGATGGAAACATCAGGGAGTTGGATTATGGCAAAGTGGGGAAGCTTCTGTGAGGCCTCAGATGTTACCTGATGAACTCGTGGGTTGAACTCGTGGCCCAGGATGCTAAAGTTGGTTTGGAACCACAGGATTTGAGAATGCTGCCCCAGAGCAGCACCCTCTGTCTGCCAGTGTGGTCCAAAGCACCTAGGAGAAAGATTCCAGTTCTTTATGAGACCCCTTAGCAGACAGACAGGGGGTTGGGTTGACTCTTACTTGGGAGCCAACTGTGTTTCTTTCTGCCCACACGCCACCAATCCTACTGATGTAGAGAGATACTTGTCAGAACTCCAAACTTCTCAGGTTCTTCTCTACTTGAAAATGGGCCCTTGAAATGGGCCAAACAGGCACAGCCCCAAAGTAGTGTGAGCAGGCTTATGGCAGATGGTGCCTACCAATGGCCAGACTTGAGAGTCTTTTGTGCCCTTAGCATCCAGGTTGCTGTAGGTGGCTGTCATCGATCTCTGCCATATGCTGGTCTTTTCCAGTTGCTGACAACTGATGCCCCCCAGGATACTTCTGGATGGTAGACTTGAGAATGCTGGGGTGGTGTGGCTCTCAAAGAAGAGTGGCTAGGAAGCAAGACTGGCAAACTGGGTGCCCTTGGCTCGGGAAGCAGGTCAGGAATCCATGTCAAGGAAAGGAGACCTCCCACGCTCTCCCTGGACAGTGCGGATGGCAGGCAGCCACCAGGCAATGGTAGCACAGGATCATCTGGATGTTTCCATGTGTGGACCAGTGGACAGAGGGAGGCTGGCGCACACGATGCTCAGGAGTTCCCAGGGGACAGTGGCAAGGAGCACAGCTGGAGTGAATGACATCCTAGATTCCAGAGAATTGTACAGTTAGTGGATGGTCTCACAAGTAACTTTAATATTCGCAATCTATCTTGACAATCTGAATATTGTGTCTAATGAAGTGCAGAGTTAATGTCACCTGTTAATGTGGCTAAAAAACATTTTAAAGTAGCATAAGTAATTCAAATTATATCTCTAGAGTGTGAAGTACAGCTATGAAGATGGGTGGGGAGCTCTGGGAAGGGGATCTGGATTTGAGGAAGAATCTGGATGGAATACAGAGCCTTCACTTGTGTGGGGCTCCCTCCCTTATGCTTTGTTCATTGTCAATTTAATGTGTGTCCCAAGTGTGTCCCTCATCAAGCACAGCCCACGGAAGCCAAAAGGTTGGGCACTAGTGTACTGAGAAACCCAAAGTGTGAGTACTCTTTCTAGCCTCAGGCCATCTCTAATCTTCCCCCTTCCTGTAGTCACAAGAGAAAGTCTTAGGCCAACAGTCTGTTTCAGGACAGGTGGTTGACCATACAATGGTTTGGGGCACAGGGAAGCTGGACGAGAATTTCCCTCTGAACCCCACCTTGACCATGGCTGCCCACAGAGGCATGCAGCCAGTGTGGACCTTCGAAGGGGCTAGCCTTTCCTCTTCCTGCCTCTGGCACACAGTCACACCCAGTGCCCTTTGTTCTGCTGTGGACCTGCCACCCTTGCTTAGTCGTCTTTTCTTGTCTGCCTGTCCCTCAGGATCTGTACGTCTTGGCAAAATCTCATACTCCCAACTGTCACCCCTTGTCTTCTAGAGCTCTCCAAGTCCCAGAATGATATGACTTCAGAGAAGCATCTTCTCGCTATGGATCCCAGGCAGTGTGTGGTCCACACGGAGAGGCGGAGCCAGTCTGACACAGCAGTCAATGTTACTTCCAGGGTATGCACTGACCTGCTGGGCCTCTGCGCCTAGCGCCTTCGTGTCCTCTTCATATCCTCTTTTCTGGCTTATTGCCCTCTACATTTGCTTTTTTATTGATAGAAAGCTTCAATCGGCCGGGAAAACCTAAGTAGGTATAATCTGTATTCAGACACACCTGACCAAAGGAAGCAAGAGTTTGAGGTCAAGCCAGATGATCTAGCCCGTGCCTGCATCCCCAGTTATTTGGGAAGTTGAGGCAGGAGGTTTGTCTGAATCAAGGGATTATAACCAATCTGAGCAACAATGTGAGACTCCCCTGAAAAAGAAAAGAATAATGATGATTCAAGATCACCATGGAGAATTAGATCAGCGACAGACTTTTACCCAATCCCAAGCTCCCAGGGCTGCTTCTTTCTGGTTTCAGTGCTATCCAAAAGCAGGCCTCACCTGCAGGGCTGACCTGCCATTTTCTGGGATCTACAAGTCTCTTCTCATGGGGAGGCCTTCTGACTTCCATTCACGGCAAAAAACCTTTGGTTGGGCTCGGCTTCTGGTGGAAAGTGAACACATAAGCTCTGCGCAGAGTGAGGGAGCAGGAGCACAGCTCCTCCCCTGGGGTCTAAAGCGAGAGAGCTCACTGGGAAAGGAGAGCGGGTAGGGAGGACATCGCAATGCCCTCTACTGAATGGGTTAAACTAAAAGCAGGTGCACTGAACTCCAGATAATGCTGACTTTGGAGTCAAATACTTGGGTTCAAATCCAGCCCAGGTGACCTGGCAGGCAGATGCCAGCACCTGTTGTTTCCAGTCTAACTGTGGGCTCTGTAGGACCCGTGTCCCTCCTCTATGCCTGTGAGTCCATCCTTGATGTCCCCAGACTGTCCTTTTTGTAATGGTGGAGAACTTAACCTTCTAGAACTTGCTCTAGAGCAGAGATTCTCAAGTCATGGGTCCTGAGGCAACCTTTGTCTCCAAAAAGTATTTACATTGCTATTCTTAACAGTAGCAAAATTAGGGGCTGGAGAGATGGCTCAGTGGTTAAGAGCATTGCCTGCTCTTCCAAAGGTCCTAAGTTCAATTCCCGGCAACCACATGGTGGCTCACAACCATCTATAATGAAGTCTGATGTGCTCTTCTGGCCTGCAGACATACACACAGATGGAATATTGTATACATAATAAATAAATATTTAAAAAAAACAGTAGCAAAATTATAGTTATACAGTAACAATGAAAATAACTTTATGGTTGGGAGTCACTACAACATGAGGAACTGTATTAAAGGGTTGCAGCATTAGGAAGGTTGAGAACCACTATCAATCCAACAAACTGGAGATTAAATGTAGCCCTGTAGTTGGAACGGCGGCTGCGTTCTCGCCCAGCTCCCTCACGGCTACCTTAGCCCCGGAAATAACACACAAATTGTATTCTTTTAAACACTGCTTGGTCCATTAGCTCTAGCCTCTTACAGGCTAACTCTCACATCTTAATTAACCCATTTCTATTAATGAGTGTAGTACCACGAGGTGGTAGCTTACCAGGAAGGATCTTAACCTGCGTCCATCTTGGAGAGGAGAGTTATAGCGTCTGCTTGACTCAGCTTTCTTTCTCCCAGAATTCTGTTCTGTCTTCTCCGCCTACCTATGTTCTGACCTATCAGGCCAAGCAGTTTCTTTATTAATTAGCCAACGAAAGCAACAGATAGACAGATGACCCTCCTCCATCATAGCCCTGTTTTACACTGAGAGACATATGAAGACATATCACTGTGGCCTCACTGGGTTTGAGATGCACAGACTCCCACATCACTGTGGCCTCACTAGGTGTGAGATACACAGACTCCCACACCACTGTGGCCTCACTAGGTATAAGATACACAGACTCCCACACCACTGTGGCCTCACTAGGTGTGGGATACACAGACTCCCACACCACTGTGGCCTCACTAGGTGTGAGATGCACAGACTCCCACACCACTGTGGCCTCACTAGGTGTGAGATGCACAGACTCCCACATCACTGTGGCCTCACTAGGTGTAAGATACACAGACTCCCACATCACTGTGGCCTCACTAGGTGTGAGATGCACAGACTCCCACATCACTGTGGCCTCACTAGGTGTGAGATGCACAGACTCCCACATCACTGATCTCACCGAGTATGAGATGTGGAGTCTCTGATACCTTTCTGCTGAGCTTTGGGAGATAAACAGTTACTGATGCTGATGGTTTTCTAGTGACACATGTCTCAAATATTTGTGATGTGCTCAGCTGACAGGGCTTTAAAATTCTCAAGTGCAAACATATCTGCTCACAGTGGCTCCCTGGAGCCATCCTTTTCAAGTGTACAGATGGGGGCTAACATTAGGTCCACGGGCAGATGGGGGCTAGCACAGGGTCCACAGACAGGTGGGGGCTAGCACAAGGTCTACGGGCAGGTGGGGGCTAGCACAAGGTCCACAGACAGGTGGGGACTAGCACAGGGTCCATGGGCAGATGGGGGCTAGCACAGGATCCATGGGCAGGTGGGGGCTAGCACAGGGTCCACGGGCAGGTGGGGGCTAGCACAGGATCCATGGCAGGTGGGGGCTAGCACAGGGTCCACGGGCAGGTGGGGGCTAGCACAGGATCCACAGGCAGATGGGGGCTAGCACAGGATCCACGGGCAGATGGGGGCTAGCACAGGGTCCACGGGCAGGTGGGGGCTAGCACAGGATCCATGGGCAGGTGGGGGCTAGCACAAAGTCCTCTTTTAAAGTCCTTTGTTCTGGGCACTGTAGTTGCCTATCTAACCACAGAATAGAATCACTCATGACCACGGTCAGAAACCTGATCTTGACTCAGAGGCCGACCAACCAGCAGCTCACATGTAGGGAACGATGGTGCCAGGAGTAGAGCCTACGTTCAGATATTGCTCATTTCTAGACTGCTTCATTTCCGCCCTGAGGACAAGGGAAGGTCTGAAGGAGGAGGCTTCAAGGAAGGGAACTCCAGATGGCACACTTGCCAGATCAGACGAAGCTAGTCCGATGGTGGCGCTGACCAAGGGCAGTCCTCATGCCGGGCACTGTCCTCTGCAGAGAGACCATGTTGCTCTTCATCTTTAGAGCAGTTCTGTAGGATTTGTCCCCATTAAAGATGAGGACTTGGGAGCAGAGAGCCAGCAGAAGACAGTGTGGTCAGAAGGAGGAGGCCAAACCTACTTGAAGTGCCAGCCCCTCCCCTAGCTCCTGCCATGAGAGGTGTTCTTTTCTCACTTGTTTGAAATGTGCCCCCTGCAGGGTATCTCAAGTTCCCTTAGGCCTCACTGTTGGTATTCTGAATGTTGGTGTCACATGGCATCCTTGGGATATCCCTCCCCTGCTGCCTGAGTCCTTGGTTCAGAGCCTCCCAGGCAGTCCCAGCCCAGAGGATGTCTGAGTTGTGAGGATTGAGGAATCCAAGCAAGGAATTGCAGAGGGGCTGTGGCTCCATCATCCTGGCCTCATAGTCTCCACTGCACAGGCTCCCTCGCAGCATGGTGCTGCTGGGAACCTAGTTTATTGTATTTTACTTCAGCTGATTTGAACTGGCTCCACCCCCATGTGGTTAGTGGCTATTGAGGAATACTGCTGTAACACGATAGAAGAAATACTAATTATTACCAAAAAGGAATAAATACAATCTAAAGACTTATTTTTTCTTTTTATGGGCATGTTAGAAGTAAAAATTTTTTCAGTATAAATACTATATTTCATGTAATTTCATGACATGATCATTATTAAAGCCAGAATTTAAACATTTTTAGTACTTTCTATAACTCATAGGAGCCCACCTGTCCATGCTGGCAATGATCCCTAACGATTCTACTTTAGGGTCCTGCTGGTGTGTAGGGTGTGCGCATTGATCCAAACACAAGTGTGTCTTCCTATGCAGCAGCCAGAAGTTTGTGTGTGAGAAGCATCACTTCACAGATGCTGGCTGAGCTTGCTGGCCTCTTTGGTCACGTGAGATAGTGGGCTATGTTTGTTTTTACCCTCTCCAGAAGGTCAGCTCACCCGATATTCTGAAAGCATTCCATCAAGAAGATCCCAAGCAACCTCCCAGTCCTGTCTTGAAGCAAGGCACTCTCCCGTCCAGTCCAACACACAGCGCTGTCTTTTCTGGAGGCCTGAGACACGTGAGTCTTGTCCCAATACTCTTGTAAAAGGTGTGGTTCTCAAGCCACCAGGGACTAGAGATGGAGCTCGGCAGTAGAGCACAGGTAGAGCATGCACACGGCCCAATTCTGTTGAATCCCCAGCACCAGAAAAGAGAAACCAACCAGACATCATCCAACTGGCCTGGTAGGTAAGGCATGGTGCATTGAATGAGAACGGCCCCCATAGGATCATATATTTGAATGCTTGGTCCTCAGTTGGTAGAACTGTTTGGGAAGGATTTGGAGGAATGGCCTTGTCGGAGGAGGTACATCACCAGTGGCAGGCTTTCTTCAAAAGCTCCTGTCATCCCCAGTTAGCTCTTTCTCTGCTTCATGCTTGTGGGTCAGGTGTAAACTCTCAGCTACTGTTCCAGCACCATGCCTGCCTGCCTGCCTGCAATGGCCCCCCACTAATGGTCAAGGACTCACCTTCTGAAACTGTAAGCCCCCAGTAAACTTTCTTGGTCATGGTGATTGCAATAGAAGAGTAACTAAGACCCAAGGGAAGGAATAGACTATGGTCTTTGGTCAACACTGGAGGTAAGAGGAGAGGTGGAGGTGATTTTCATGTTGATTTGGAGCTAGGGAAAGCCTCAAAACACATTGAAGCCATCTTTCCTGTTTACCTTTTTAAAAATATCATCTTGTTGAGAACATTTTATACCTTCAGACAGTAACTGGTCCTTGTGCTGGTTTTTGTCAATCTGGAGTCATCTGGAAAGAGGGAACCCCAGTTGAGGAACCGCCTCCATGAATCTGGGTCATGGGCAAGTCTATTGGACATTTTCTTGATAAATGACCAGAAGAGGGCCCAGCCCTTTGTGCTTGGTGCCACCCTTAGGTGGTGATCCCTGTTTTAGACTCTGTCCTCTGGTGACTAGGTCTATGTTTAGGCCACGGCCACATTGTCTTGTTTGTAACTTTGCTTTATGTTTAGAGGGCTAAGGTTAAGGTGTATTCTTTTTCAAGATGGCTTCATAATGTTTCAAATCTACTCTGTTTCTAGACTGCATGTGGAGTCACCTGTTGACTCATTTGCTAAACAAACCTAATGCTACTTAGGCCTAGAGTTTTTTGCGGGAACCTGAGGCCTCAATTAGCAGTTGTTTTGATTGGTTCTGTGTTGCTATCACAGAACAACACTGACTTGGTAATTTGAAAACAGTAGAAATTTACTTATGATTCTAAAAGATGGGATTCCAAGATCAAGCGATGGCAGACTCGGGCTGTTATGGGCCTATTTCCTGCTTTGTGATAGGCATCTTCAAGCTGTGTGCTCACCTGGTGGAAATGGTGAGGGGCTCCCTGTGGCCTGTTTTCTAAGTTAACCCCATTCATGAAGGCTTATAACCTGCTCACCTCCTCATATCATAGGTTTCAGTGCTCATGTGTGAGGCTGGCTTAACACCAAGGGCTGCTTGTGTTTTAGAATAGTCTAGAAAGATGAAAGTCAAGAGGACTTCTCCATGAAGATCAGGCGGGCAAGGCTGGCTCTAGAACCTTCTTTTCTAGTATGGATTCCTATGGTGGACTCAAGGCAGTGAGAGCGGCCTGGGAGCAGGGAGACTCTGGGAACGAGCCAGCAGGAGCCTGATGTTGACTCAAAAGGACCATGATCCAGAAGAACAAAGCCGAACTCACTTCTTAGAGAGCCTGAGGGGCTGTGTCCATACAGTTCCAGCTGAACTCACTTCTTAGAGAGCCGAGGGGCTGTGTCCACACAGTTCCAACTGAACTCACTTCTTAGAGAGCCCGAGGGGCTGTGTCCACACAGTTCCAGCTGAACTCACTTCTTAGAGTGCCTGAGGGGTTGTGTCCACACAGCTCCTGACATCCCACTAGAGTTGGCTCACTGTCCCTTCCTGGAACAGGATGGCGCTCACGCAGCTCCAGAGCCAGCACGTCTCTACACTTGAGATGGTCCACAGGGTCCTGAGCACCTGCCCCCATTCTGCTTTGACCCCATCTGCTTTCTTCCTCCCATTGCTCCATCACTCAACCATGTGATCAGTCACTGGTTCTCAAGTCTAGGACACACAGACTTCCCAGGTTATTCCCTAGTTCTCTGAATTTTGTTTGGAGGCTCCTTTTCAGAGAGGACCCTGTCAGTTCCCATTCACTCACTTGCTCCTGGCTCATGTTTTAGCATCTTCTACCTGAGATCCACCTCACTTACCTGCCTTTCATCAGCTGATCGTTAGAATACAATTCCCAAGTCCTTGGAGCAATGTCTGACACTCAAGCGACTCTTGGTAAACACTCACCAGATGACAGGGTCAGTAGCTCCGAGAACCTGCACCGATGGCTTCTCATGTCCTGTGACTGTATGTTGGCCACTGTTAGTCCATTTCACAATTGAGCAACCTGAGAGTTCAGGGGTAGGTAGTTTACTAGAGTCCTCTAGGGGTTGTAGAACTTGGGGTCAACTAACCCAGGGACCACAGAATAGCAGCTATGACCCACAGGCTTGTTGCGCTCTAGTACGAACTGGTTTTTCTTACCCACACCGTCCGTCCTTCTTTCTTCTCTCCCTATAGCTGATCAAGAATTAAGGTTGGGCAGAGGAAAATGGTTCAGTGAGTAAAACTAATCATGATGTCCCAAGCTCAAATCTCTGGAACCCTATAAAAGCCAGATGCTGTGGTATGAGTCTATAATCCCAACAAGTGAGATAGGAGGCGGAGACATGAGAGCACCCCAAAAGTTCAGGGCCAGTTAGCCTGGTATAAATACAGGGGAAGGCAGGGGCTGACACCCAAAGTTGTCCTCTGACATTCACACATGTGCTGTGGCATGTGCGCCTTCACATGAACATGTGTTCATACATACACATCATAGACAACAACTTAGCTGTTTTAAAAGAGTGTTAGGGCCATGACACTGAGCTAAGGAGGAAGACACTGTGGTGGGGTTTTTCTTATGATAAACTCTAAACTCAGTAGGCCACTCCATTCTCATCCCTTCTAATTTTTTTTTTTTTTTTTGAGACAGGGTTTCTCTGTGTAACAGCCCTAGCTGCTGTCCTGGAACTAGCTGTGTAGCCCAGGGTGGCCTTGAACTCACAGAGATCCACCACCAGCCTCTGCTTCGCAAGTGCTGGGATTAAAGGCCTGTGCCACCACTGCCCGGCTCCTAATTTTTTTTTTTTTTTTTTTTGTGGCGTATTCTCTTCAGAGTTATGATGGTGAGTTTAGATTGTTCTTAATTGTAATGTCTTCTTTTAAACCGAAGCAATATCTGTCTAAGGGATTCAAACTTCTACAAGGCAAATAACCACTGCGTTATTTCGTGTCCAGATTTGTGGCCTACCCTTCCTGGAGAAATTCATGACTCCAAGAAACCAGGAGTTGTTTAGAAAAAGCCTGTAAAATCTCCGCTTACACATAGAGACAGGGAATAAATAGAGACAATCATCTAACCTCCCAAGTAGTGGAATCAGGGCAAAACTGAAACAAAATCCTATTTTGGGACGATGTTAATAACGTCTAAAAATGCAAGGCAAGGGCCCAGAGCGGCAGGCATCTGAAAACCACATGGCAAATGGAAATTGTTGCAGCTTCCCTGGAGACACATGCACATATTCAAAAGCCTGGAGGTGTCTGCTTCTGCCACAGGCCTCGTGCATGCTAAACGCACCCCTTACCGCTGAGCCACACTCCTGCCCCTGCAGGTTCTCTCGAATAATCCAACGGATGGGAAGTACTTCTAAAGCCTGTCCTAAATGTTGCCCCACACGTGTGGTTGTCCAGGGCAGTGCTGTTTATGATTGTTTCAATGTTGGAAGTTTGGCAGCAACCAGACAGAACAAGCTGTGGTTCATGGGCACACAAAATGCTTTTAACTGTGCGGACACCAGAATAAGGCAGACTGGGAGGGGAGTTGATATTTTACTAATGAAACCATAAAGAAAAATAAAGTTGATGAGCAAGCAGCTTTGAAGCAGCTGGTACTCAGGAAGGGTGGGGACTAACTAAAGGAGGGGCTGTAGGGCGTCTCAGAGATCCTGGTGAGTGTGTGTGTGCACATGTGCACGCGCTCATGCTTGTGAACAGAGGCATGTGTGTGTCATCATATGCGTGTGTCAGAATACCCTCAGGTGTCATCCTCATCACCCAAGCTACACTGTTTGAGACAGGGTCTCTTGTTTCCACTGCCTATGCTTGGCTAGCTGGCCTGGTGGCTCCCAGGGATCCTCCTGTCTCTGCCTGTAGGGTCACTGAGATTACAGATGTGTTACTGCACCCAGCTTTATGTGGGCGGTAAGGTTCCTGACTCAGGTCCTCATGCTCGCTCATGGCAGCAGCTGAGCCATTGCCCTCCCAGCCCACTGTTTTTTCTTCTTAGCACGCGAGTGGGGAGAGATGAGATTATTGCAGTTATTTTTTTTTAACTACTCTTGCGCATTACACGTGATGTTTAAATGCTGTATACACTTCACAGCCAAGAAGACAAGAACAAAGGAAGGGGTTCACCCAGCTTGCAAAGGGCCCTCGAAGGTGCAGAGTTTACAACAGACACACACACTTTGGGCGCTTCCCATAGACCGGGTTCTAAGCTCTGTGTTTTGTAACTGTCTGAACTGTCGCAGAGATTCGGGTTTTACAAATGAGGAAACTGAGGAAAATTGCTGGAGACCACACAGCCAGCAGGGCTCAGTCCAGAACAAAAGACTGCCTATCACCGGCTAACCCACTGTGTAATACTTTTCCCTGTGTTCTTGGCTAACAGAATGTATCACTTTTAAAAAACCATAGCTGTCATTTTCCTAGTTTTTCTACCTTTGTGACATAGACAGGCCCAGGACTCAGCTTGAGGTGATAGTAGATGACCTCTGACCTTCAGGGGGTCTCTGGCCACTGACGGGTGTATGGTCTTTGCTTTGCCCTGAGTTGGCCTTTCAAAGGCAGACAGAACCAGTGACTCCGACAGGAATCAGGTCTGGATTGTACTTTGGGGCCAGAACCTTTTGGTTGATTCAAGTTTACTGCTCGGGCTTTTGTTTATTTATTTGTTTTTTAACAGATTTCTGTAACAGCCCTGGCTATCCTGGAACTCACTGCAGACCAGGCTGGCCTCAAACTCACAGAAATCCACCTGCCTCTTCCTCCCGAGTGCTGGGATTAAAGGTGTGCACCACCACCACCTGGCTGCTTGCTCTGAAGTTCTGTTCTGGCTCCAGAGAAAACAGAACTGAGTCCCAGACAAGGAACTCTTGGGAGGGTTATCAGCCGCCTCCAGAGAACTCCATGTGGGGCAAAGTCTCTCTCCTGGACTGAGTTCTAGGCAAAGGACCTTTTGAGGTTTTCCCAGTCCTGGGCCTCGAACCTAGAACACCTTCTGCTTTGTTAGGTGAGTGCTTTATCTCTGAGCTACAGTCCCAGCAAAAATTTTATCGTAGTGACTAGAATTCTTCAGCTCTTTCCTTTGGCAGCTCACGTCTTTTGCCCACCCCTCTTCACATCTCCCGTCTTCGTTTTCAACCCTCGCTCACTCGCTCTCGCGCCTCCCATCCCGTGTGTCATCTTTGAATGTGTACCGGCTAAGGTTGCTTTCCATCTGACCACCACAGGGTACGGTCAGGCGACATTTTTCTGGGGCTGGGTGTGGCAATGCTCTCTGTATTCTTGGCATTAGTTAAGACAGGTTCCTGGCCCTTTGAGTTGGTTTGGGTTTTATCTCTCTCTGCCAGTTATGGCTTTCTGTTGTAGACTTTCTTGCTTTCTTTTCCGGGAGTTTTATGGTGTGGAGGAGCTGGTTGGGTATGAGAAGCAGAAATTATTTAGTGTTCCTCTAAAAGCAGTACTGGCACAACTACTCACAAATGGTGGCGGTTGTCTAAGCAAATTTAATAATGATGAGATGACCTAATCTTTTAGGCACAGCATCCTGGGATGCAGTCCTTCAGGTATCACTTAAGTTTAGAGTGTGCTAATATCCGAAGGTGCTTTCATTTTTATTTTAGGTGCCCATAAAACTTAAGGGTAATTTATTGTCTTCGCACAGTCTGCACGAGTCACTCTGTGTGGGCCCCTTCCTCACTGTCTGATTCTAGCCTCGGTCACTTAGTCTCACTGCTGCCCAGCTGTGGATGCCATCTGGCCCAAGAGTTACGGTGAAAGAATGGCACATGAGCTAGTCCACGTCATCCTGGTGACCCGCGGTAAAGATTGGGTAACCTTTATCGCCAGGCAGAGACAGAAGGAGACAAGATCTCCTGAGGGTGCCTTGTCACCTTAGGACTCACCAGGTGGCAACGTTAGCAGGGGGCATGCCGGGGGCACATATCAGCTTAGCGAGAGTTGGGTTGCATGCTCTGCGTGAATTGTGACTTACCGTGAGAGCACAATGGCAAACTATTTATTAACCGTGAGTTAATTTATTATATCTGCCATTGATTTCAGGGAAGCTTAATTAGTATTAACAGCACCTGCACGGAGATGGGTAATTTTGACAAGGCTAATGTCACTGGAGAAATCGAATTTGCCATCCGTTACTGCTTTAAAAGCCATTCTTTAGAAATACACATCAAGACCTGTAAGAACCTTGCCTACGGAGAGGAAAAGAAGAGGAAGTGCAACCCGTAAGTTGTTGGGTTTTGTTTTGCTTTAATTGAAGTTTGGCATTACAACATTGGATGTGTTGCTGATGCAAAGGTAGGTCGATAGAGGATCAAGGTCCTGTTTTATAGGCCTGAGCATATACGGGAATTTGGATGCTCAAGGGGTGTTTAGACCACTTGAGTTGCTGTAACAGATGGCAAGAGACTGGATGGCTAAGAATCAGCAGCAATTTATCCTCACAGTTGTGGATGCTGAGACGCCCAGGGACTGACAGAGCTGGTGTCTGGTGAGGGCCAGCTCCTGGTTCACAGATGGAGACTGGGGCCTGTCAGTCCATGGGAGAAGCAGGGAAGGGCAGCTCTCTGAGGACTCCGTTCTAAGAGCACAGATCTCATTGAGGGCCACCCTTCCACCCAACCACCTCCAAACACAATCACATGGGAGTTAAGTTCCAACACACAGGAGTTGAAACTTAGGGGCAAAACATTCAGTGTGTGTCAGGGAGCTCTAGCCAATCAAGGAAGAGAGATGATGCCCAGTAAAGGGTGTTGGAAGGCTGATTTCATAGAGGAAAACCAAAATTAACATCAGAGGTCCGCCTGCCTCTGCCTCCCAAGTGCTAGGATTAAAGGCGTGTGCCACCAAGTCAGGCTTCCAAATAGTCCCTTTTATTTTAAAGAGATCGAATTTGGCCTGTTCTATTAAAATTGACAGCATGCATACAGGCTGGGGATGTAGTTACCATGTACCCTGTCATGTTTAGTTCTGTGCCCAATGCATACGTGTATCAGGACTATAGACTCTAATAGCAAAAACTAAGACAAAGAGTCTTTCGAGGCTAATGAACAGTGATGATCAATACAGTACAATGATATATAGGGAAATGGAGGGATCAAAGCTCCATAAGCGGGGGAGGGAATCAATCTCAAACAGCACGATCATGAGGGGACGAGGTGAGTTAGAGAATGCAGGTGAGCCGTTTCCCTTACGTGGGTTCAGAAGCGGGATCTTTTGTGGGAAAGAGTATAATCTTTGAGGTCTCCGAGCCAAAGCTAAGTGTGAGTCATGAGTTTCTATTCTCCTCCTTAGTTCTGAGGGTCCAGGGGTAGCAATGGGTGGAGGTGGAAAGAGGGAGTCTGGCATGTACATGGAACATCAGGTTCTGCGGTCATGTGGTCATCATGAAGCGGGAGATGAGGAAGAGGGACAGATTCTAGTAGGACCCAAGAGTAAGGCCAAGGCGCTTTACACACTCAGTGCTCAGCCAAGCGGTGTAAATCCAAAGTTACTCATACTGCACTGAGATCGCTCACGTTGAGGGCTGTAGGGGCATGTCCTGGTCAGTAAAGGGCTTGCTCCGCAAGTATGAGGACCCGAGTTTAGATCCCAACAACATCTGTGTAACAAGCTGTGCACGGTGCCGCATGTCTGTGATCCCAGTGATAGAGAAATGGAGACATGAGGAGGCCTGGGGTTTGCAGACCAGACAGCCTAGCCTAGCCAGGGAGCTCCAGGTTCAACAAGAGAGACCCTGTGTTGTTAATAACATTAGTAATAATAATAAAGCAATAAGGTTGAGGGCAATTCAGGAGGACATCAAACAACCTTTGGCCTCCTTGTGAAGGTGCTTACATTCTCTCTCTCTCTCCCTCTCTACTCAAGTCAGGATGCAAATCTTGCCCATCAACTCAAGCTCCAGCAGGGAAGCAGGCCAGAAAACCCACTGATGCTACATTGTACTCCCCTGAACTCTCTGCTCACCCCATGTTGAGTTCACCCTTTGTTCTTCTGCCTCTGCCCACTAGGTACATCAAGACCTACCTGCTGCCTGACAGGTCATCCCAAGGGAAGCGCAAGACACAAGTCCAAAAGAACACTCTGGACCCAACTTTCGAGGAAACCTTGAAGGTACTTGTGGGCCAGACATTCCTGAGTCTTCCCTATCCCAGGCTGGGTTTAGGGTCAGAGGTCAGCATGCCTCTTTGAAACTCTTTTTTTTGTTGTTTTTGTTTTTGTTTTTCGAAACAGGGTTTCTCTGTGGCTTTGGAGCCTGTCCTGGAACTAGCTCTGTAGACCAGGCTGGTCTCTAACTCACAGAGATCCACCTGCCTCTGCCTCCCGAGTGCTGGGATTAAAGGCGTGCGCCACCATTGCCCGGCTTCTTTGAAACTCTTGAGTCAGTTAAATATAATTGCAGACATCTTCATGTCAATCAGTGCCAAGTTGATAGAAGGTAGACATCAGCCTTTGTACTCTGCCAGACTCGGACACAGCTCTGGATTAATGATTTCTAAGAAGACACAGGTCTCAAGCTAACAACTGGGCACAGAACGACTTGAAAGACTGAACATCAGAGAGGTGTTCTCCAGCAGAGGGTCCCAAGAGTGATGTTCCTGGGTTTTGTTCTCCACAGAAGTACCTCTTTATTAGAATAGATGAAAACCATAGATTTCATTTCTTTTTATGAAAAAAAACAGTTATAGGGTCAGGGAGATGTCTCAGTAAGTAAAGTTTTGAGAACCTACATAAAGCCAGACTCTCAGTGTCCTACAGCAATATGGGAGGTGGAGACAGTGGAGTCCCTAAAAAGTGGAGAACACCTGGTGGACACAGTGGCAAAACAAGAGACTCTGTCTCAAACAAAGTAGATGGTTGTTCTCTGATATCCAAAGGTGTCCATGCAAGTGCCTGTACTTACACATACATTCATGTGCAGAGATATATCCTACATACCCAATATACAAACCCTTCATGCACACATCATAAACATACCCTTCATGCACATTTTATATACACACCCATCACACACACACACACATCATATAGACACCCATCCTGCAATCCATTATACACACCCATTTTGCACACATCTTATACACACCCATCATGCACACATCATAAACACACCCTTCATGCATGCATTATATACACACCCATAGTGCACACACCATATATATGCTCTTTGTAATACATCATATATATACCCATCATGCACACATCGTATACACACCCTTCATGCACACATTATATACACATCCATTATGTGTGCATCATATACACACCCATCATGCACACATCTTATACACACCCTTCATGCAACATCATATACACACCCTTCATGCGCACATCTTATACACACCCATCATGTGCACATCATACACACCCATAATGTATATGTCATATATACACCCATCACACACATATCATATACACCCCTCACACATATACAAAGACAGAAAAAATTATAAGGGAATTATTTAAGTCTTCATTTTCTGTGCTACTAAGAAACAGAATTATGCTTCAGAGCAGAGTTAAGCCCTCATAATTTCATTTGAAGTAGAGGAAGTCCCAGCATGGACTGTGGCTGTTCTAGCCAGATGGGCTGCCTGGACCTGTGGAAACCCCAGCCACGACTGGCAGCTCAGAAGCCCTGCTGTCTGGCACTGGCAAGGGCTTTGTCTGCCTTTCTTGGCAAGGAGTAGTAGTCAGGGGCCATGTTGGGGCTGGCACAGAGCCTTGAATTCATTAAATAATAATAATAGCCATTGTTCCCTGGGCCTCTCTCTGACCAAATGCTTCATGTACACACTGAGGATGGTATTAGAATCTCCATCTGCCAGTGGGAAATTGGACTTGGGGAGGTCAGGAAGCTTAGCAGGAACTCACAATGGAGAGGCTGTCCTGGAGAGTTCATAAGGGTTGGAATCCCCTGTTCTGCTTTTAAATTGCAGATTCTGACTCAGCAGGTGTAGGCAGGGCCTGAAGTCTCTGTTCCCTCAGACTCCTCTGCTGGCCACCCACGTGTGGGCCACTGCAGCCAGTCTGCAGGCTGCTTGCTTGCTGGTACATTTTAGGTTGATATTGAAATATTCATCATAAGGCTGATAAGGTATTTTATGTAAGACTGAGGAGGCTCAAGAAATGAGGTGGGAACTATTTTTAGATAAGTGTTTATATAGTTCAGTTTAAAAGTCTTTCTTGCCTTATTTAAGTTACATGCACGATGTCAAAGAAATCACAATCATAGTCTGTTAGGCATGTTTTAGGGTCTTAGGGGATATTTTAGATCTATCTGAAAGAATAATGTCTTAATTTTATAGTGTTCTAACGCAGACCAAACTTATTCTTAAAGAAACTCCTGCAGGCATGGTAGTGCAAGCCTCTAGTCCCAGCACTAGAGAGACAGAGGCAGGTAGATCTTTGTGAGTTCAAGACCAGCCTGGTCTACATTGTGAGTTCCAGGTCATTTGGTTGGTTGGTTTTTTTGAGACAGGCTTTTTCTATGTAGTTTTGCAGCCTATCCTGTAACTCACTGTGTAGACCAGGCTGGCCTCAAACTCACAGAAATCCACCTGCCTCTGCCTCTTGAGTGCTGGGATTAAAGGCGTGCGCCACCACCGCTTGCCAGGTTAATTTTTAAAAAACCTGTTAGGAACCTTGCGTTTCACTTCCCTCTGGGTCTGGTATCCAGCAGGCTTGTAAAACCAAGGGGAGATGGCTGTGAGAGCTACCTCCAGTTGGTTTTGAGAAAAAAAAATGTGGGTTGATGTAATCAGGGTAGAATGTGACAGCCATTCTACCCTCATTACATCTGTCTTATAGAAGTCTGTGTATCAAAATTGAGGCTTGGGCTAGAGAGATGGCTCAGCTGGCAAGGTACCTGCCACATAAGCCTGAGGACCCAGTACCCACGTAAAAAGTTATGATACATGTGTGTAACCTCAGTGCTCGGGACTAGAAACAGGAGGATCCCTGGAGCTCATTGGTCAGCTAGCCTAGTCAAACAGCTTTAGGCTCAACTGAGGGATCCTGTCTCAAAAACAAAAACAAAAAACAGAAAACAAAAGGAAAGCAATTGAGGCTGACATTAATATCAATCTCTGATCTTCATATGCCTGTGCACCTACACAAATAATATGCTATAGCACATACCATACCACATACACACATGCCCCACGTGCACACGCCATATACAGCATACATCACAACACACACACACACACACATACTGCATATAGCACACACCGTACCAGACAGACACATGCACACACGCACTCCAAACATACACATGCCCTACATACAGACCATGTACAGCATACACCACAGACACACACACACCGCACACCATGTATACATACTTCATACAGCGTGTACCCCCACATACACCAGACACACAAAGTTGAGGCTCTAAAAGCCACTTGCCATCATTTTCTCGACAGAGTGTTTCTTGGGGCCCTCTGGGCTTGGAGAGGTTTCTAACTCCTTTTGAGACTCTGGGAATCAGAAAGGGGATGGAGACAGCAGATTTGGTCCTTGTCTGTTCATGTTCTCTGAGCTGTTAATGTGTCAGACCCCATAGTCTACAGTAGCCTCAGGCCACTGATGCAGGCTTTAGAGACATAGTCCAACAAGGTAGTTCTTGTTCAACACAGTAAATTCATTATTGGAGGAGAACAGTCCTGTTTATCAGATAGGGGTGAGCAGCCAGTGAGGACGCAGGAAATGTCCTCAGGCCTGAGTGTCCCAGGGAGACCCACAAGGGGCTGCAGAGGGAGCGGTTAGGGAATGGCCTCAGGTGACACTGAGGACCCACTGCACCATGGCCCTGTAGCTAGCTCTTGGAACAGCCTTATTTCTCAGAGGGCAGCAAGCCAGCCCTGTAGTCAGGGCTTGTAACCGACTGCTCCTGAGGAACGGGAAAGGAGGAGTCAGCAGGATGATTTAGTTGTTTGTCTGACAGAGGGAGAAATGGAACAGGGCGCTGGGTGTAGTGCCTGTACCTGTAATCACAGTGCTGGGAGGCAGAAACAGGTGATCTCTGAGTTAGAGGCCAGACCTGGTGGGCGGCACAGTGAGTTCCAGGACAGCCGGAGTTACACAGTGAGACCTCATCTCGAAAACAACAACAGAAAGGAAATAGGGATTTGGAAAGCAGAGAAAACGGAGCCAGGGGCTGTGAAACGGGAATGTGCATGGCTCAAGAGCGTGTGGAGTCCAGAGGGAAGAGAAGATGGTAGGATGGGGACAGCACCCCTCACCACCACCTCTCTGCTAATTGATCACAGCGTCTTGGTCCCCATTTCCTTCCCATCTTGTCCCTCAAAGGGAAAGAAAGGCCCTGAGATGGGAAAGTGGATGCAAAATCCAGCCAGACTGTCCACGTCCCCTCAGTGTGAGCACGTCTGCTCACACCATGCCACGAGGCTAGCACTGGCAGGAGGGTGCAAAGGTTATTAGCAGGGAGAGCTCAGGGCTGGGTACGTGGGTGGCGATGCCACTCACTGCTGATGGCTTCGGGACCGAGGGGGGCACACCTACCTTCTAAGTGACTCACAGTATTGACCTCACTTGTCCTCTTGGAGGCCAAAGGTGCCCGTACAGGACAAGGGCCCAACAGCTTGCTCTTTGTAGCCATTACTGAAAATGTACAGTGTACAGACCAAAGCCTGGGCTCCCAGAGGCTGAGGTGGAGTGTTCCGTGTGGCACAGCCTTCAGAGGGGCCATGTGTCACCTACATTCCTGATCTCTGTCCCCCCATCCCACCCACAAGTATTTTCTATCCACGGTTTACACTGCTCTGGAATCTTGTGCCTGCCTTTCTTTGTTTGCTTGCTTCTTTATTTTACTGCATTACTGGGGGTGGGTTGTAGGACTTGGTGTGTGTCAAATACATCTTTGATTCCCAGCTATGGTCCCCCTGCATTTAATAAAAAAATCAAAAGTCTGGTTTTTAGTATTTTGGGATAACACTGGCTTGGGGCAGTGCAGTCCTGTGTAAGGGTATGTCATGGTTTGGTTTCCCAGAGTCCTGGGCTAGGCAAGGACTTTCATCCAGGAAACAGGAAAGGGTGATGGGTGAGAATAGGGATGGGAGGGGATGAGAACTGGACCGTGGGGAAGCTCAAGGTGCTTGGCAAGCAGACAGCGAGGTTCAGCTTGGCCCACCCTGAATACATCTGAACTCTGGCTGTAGCTGAGTCCCAGGGCTCAACCTACGCAGGCCTGGGGGTGGTTCTAGAAGACCCAGCTGACAATCTTGTTCTTGCACCTGCAGTATCAGGTAGACCTCGCCCAGCTGGTGACCCGGAGGCTGCAGGTCTCTGTGTGGCACCTAGGCACCCTTGCCCGGAGGGTGTTTCTTGGAGAAGTGATCCTTCCTCTGGCCACATGGGACTTTGAGGACAGTTCGACCCAGAATGCCAGGTGGTATCCACTTCGGGCCAAGGTGTGTCTTTGGGGGGCTATATTTTGGGGGGCTGTATTTGTTACCTTTCTGTTGCTGTGAGAAAACACCATGGCCAGAAGCCACTTACAGAGGGTATGTTTTGGTTCTGGTGTGTGGTTCTAGGTGGATAGTCTGTCATGGCAGGGAGGACGCTTGGAGATCATACCTCAAGGGCAAGCCCGAGGAAGTGGATTGAGGTTCTAAACTCTCAAAGCCGACCTCGGTGACATGCTCCCTCAATCAAGGTCCCACATCCCCAAGGCTCTGTAACCTCCCCAAACAGTGCCACAATTAGGCACTAATAGTTTAGATTCATGAGCCTATGGCGGGACATTTGTTATTCAAACTACACAGGGCCTGAGAGCACCTAGTCACTATGAACTCATTTTTCAAAGGATAACACACACACACATACACGTACGCACGCATGCACACACGCACACACTGGCAGCATGAAGAAGGCCAGGACATCTCTGACCGGCTACCATAGGGTCCCACCCAGCCTCCTTTGGCGAATGGGCCAGCAGCAGAGTGCCAAGCTAAGTCACCTCACGGGATGCCAGCTGGGAGTAGCACAGCACCCTGTCACTGAATGGGGTATGAATGTCAACAGGCTGCCATGGGGCTCTGGCACCAGGCTACTCGGGCTGGGACTTGCTTTCTAGACCTTGAGTGTCCCTGCCCCAGTTGGCACCAAAGGGCCTGTTGAATGTTTCAGTGCAGATGCTGGCTGGCCCAAGCAGGCTTTCAGAAGTCCTGGGTACCCTGAGGGTTGCTTCTCGTTTCTCGTGGCGGCAACCCTGACCTTCCCTCCCAGCACAATTTCCACACCTGGACGGAGGGCTGTCAGATTCAGGACCCTCTCCTCTCTGGGCTTTCCATTCACTTTCTGGCAGTCACTCAGGACCCGAGAAGTCACTTCTGAACGGTATCTCACAGGGCTAGACACCATGGCCTACAGAGCTCTCATGTAAGGTAGAAGCAGTCTGCCACTCTTTCTGCCCTCAGTGCCCGAAGGAGGCGCTGCCATAGAAGGGTAGCTCCAATCCTTACCGACCTAGAGCGGGCTGATGGATGGAGATGAATCTTGGGTTTTCAAGTCCAGTGCTGTCCAGGCCTCCCTGGGGCCACGCTGTTCCCAATGGCTTCTGACGTGCTAAGGTAGTGAATTGCTCCTCCCATGTTGAGGGGCTGAGGTAGCAGCAGCGAATCTGTAGACAGAGGGCTAGTCCACCAGGCACCCCCATTCCATCCTTAGGCTTTGAGAGGGTCTGTCGGGGTGGGGTGGGACAACCTGCATGGCACAGGTGGTTTTGAGACGGCCTTGAGAGGGTCTGTCGGGGTGGGGTGGGACAACCTGCATGGCACAGGTGGTTTTGAGACGGCCTTGAGAGGGTCTGTCGGGGTGGGGTGGGACAACCTGCATGGCACAGGTGGTTTTGAGACGCAGGGGCAAGATTCTGCTGAGCTCTGCCTCTCGCCCTCAGGCTGAGAAATACGAAGATAATATTCCTCAGAATAATGGAGAACTTGCTGTTCGAGCCAAACTGGTCCTTCCTGCAGGGCCAAAAAAGCTCCAGGAGGCCCAAGAAGGTGAGTGACCTCCAGTCCCGTGAGCTTTTGTTTGTCACTGTGCCCAAAATTCAGAGAGCAGGCAGTCTGAGGTAGGCAAAAGACTTCCCACTGCCCACTGGCCCCACATTCCAGGCCCTGTACATGGGTGACCAGAATAGGCGAGGCCTCCGGTGCACACTTCCTCCTTCCTAACCGCCAGTCTCTGGTGGCCCTGTTGAAGAGGGGGCCACTGTAGCAGCACACATGGGGAATTCAGGAACCAAGACTGCTTCTAGGGCCCTGGGAGCTGGAGGCCGAGAGAGGTCAGGATGGAGTGGGTGAAGGGCAGATCCTGGAACTATTTAACTTAGATAATATAAGGTATGCAGATACCGAGGGTAGAGAAGGACACGGGAAGACTCATAAACGACAAAGGGTCGTTCAGTGACTTTGGCAGGAATTGGAGCTCCCAGGGCCAGCAGCGTGTACCTGCCAGAGGTTGCCAGGACCTAGCTCAGCAGCGTATGGCTCCCTTCTCAAAGCAAGGGCTACGACCAGCTTTCACAGCTTTCTCGCCATGGTTTCCCCAGTCCTCTGTGGAACAGCCACCTTCCTGGCATTTTACTGGTTCTTCCATTCTGTCTGCCCCAGGAAAAGTGTGGGCAAAGCCGGTGAGGCTGTGGGTCCTCTCAGGGAGCTACCGCTTTCTGACTGTTGGTACTGTACACTAACATATCAGGAAAAATATGCTTAACCCGAGTTCTGACTTTCCTTCCAGGCACGGGAGGTCAGTTATCGCTTAATGGTCAACTTTGTTTGGTTGTGCTGGGAGCCAAGAATTTACCCGTGCGTTCGGATGGCACCTTAAACTCTTTTGTTAAGGGGTAGGTATTGGATATCAGTATATACTGAGCATGGTCCAAAATCTGTAGGAAACATCAAAAAGTATAGACCATTTGAACTCATCTTATTTAGCTTTCCTATGAAAATCTAAAATAGTGCTTGCTGGTGAGATGGCTCAGTGAATAAAGACCTGGAACCAACCACACAGTGCAAGAACCAGCTTCTGCAAGTTGTTCTGTGTCCAACACGTGTGGCGTGTGCACTTGTTCTTACATGCATGCACATACAAAATAACAAAGTAATTAGATTAAAAAGAAAATCGAACAAAGCACATTTTTAAGGACCAAGCATTCCAAGAGATGAGGCTTGGTTATGCGTGGCACGGCTGGGAAGAGCACATTTTAAACAGGAACCCAGACCTCGCCAGTTCTTGATAGGCCAGTAGATCAGTTTTGAAATTGAGTGTGAAGTTCAGTTAGCATTTCCCTAGCTCAGCACCTGGTCACTCTGCCATTCCAGCCATTACCGGTGTCCGTGTCCCCAGAGGAAAACACTAACAAAGGCGTGAACCCCAGTCCCTGAAGCACGGGAAAAAATGGTGGCTTGTCAGGATAGAACCCCTTGCTACTACTGTGTACACCCTAGGGCAATTTAGTTTTTCTGAATGTATCTTCCTAAGACTGGAACAAAATGAAGCCATGGATATACAGAGATCTGGTCCCTCAGCATTGGTTTCAATGGTGGCGTGGCCGTGAGGAGAGCTCACAGTGAAGGTCACGTCCCCCCGATTTCTAACTTACCCTAAATACCTGAGGTGGGATCCAGCCCTAAAAGGAAATAGGAATTCTAGGGAGGAGACAGGCCTCGATCCTAACCCAGTTCAGCGTAGAATGGGTTTAGGTGACAATGGGTACCAATGAGGAAGGGGGTCGCACGCTGGGCTGTGGCCTCAAGCTTCCCGTTTCCTTCTTCAGCTGCCTCACTCTGCCAGACCAGCAAAAGTTGCGTGTGAAGTCCCCAGTACTGAAGAAGCAGGCTTGTCCCCAATGGAAGCACTCTTTCGTGTTCAATGGTGTGAGCAGCTCTCAGCTGAGGCAGTCCAGCCTGGAGCTGACTGTCTGGGACCAGGCCATCTTTGGCATGAGTGACCGCCTGCTCGGGGGAGCCAGGCTTGGTACAAGTAAGTCTACTTTGTGGCTCTGTGTCTCCCAGACTTTACTGGTGAAAATCACAGATTTATGTCTTTAGTGATTGCCCAACACGGGTACCGATTTCAACAGTAGACGATTCAGCTGGCTTTGAAACTGCCCTGTCCCGTCATTAATGGGGATCCCCAAATCCAGGTTTAACTACACCAGAGAAGATAATACCACCAACTATTTCTGCAATTTAAATCAGATTTGGATCAGCTAAAGAAACAAAAGCTTTAGGGTTCACAACAGGCAAGGGACAGTATTTACTTTTGTCCTGGTGTCAGTCATAAGAGGATTATTTCTTTAAGGAAAATATCTCAGCCCGGCCAAACATACATCTGGAAGGACGTCACTGAGGGGCAGACAAGGGCACCATTCAGCACAGCTCACCCCGAAGGGGGCTGCTGGCATTGTATGGACAGCCTCCTACTGGGAGCGGGCAAGTTCTGTTCTCTCAGCATGGCTCCCACATCTAAGACCTCCCCAGGCAACACCGGCATCACCAGCTAAGAACTACTAACCGAGACTGGAGTTGCATTCCTTAGGATGCAAATGTTTCAGAGTAAACCCTTCCTCTGAGAAATCTTTTCCGTGAAAAACCAGGGTCCCCAGCCCACCTTTGACCTCAGAATTAAGGGTCCATGACTCCCACTGAGAAGAACTGGAAGCTTGGAGTTCATTTCCTCTCCTTTACAGCAGCGTTCTCAACCTTCCTAATGCTGCAACCCTTAATACAGTTCCTCATATGGTGACCCCCCCAATCACAACATTATTTTTGTTGCTAATTCAGAACTCTAATTTTGCTGCTGTTATGAATCACAATGTAAGTATTTGTGTTTTCTGATGGTCTTTGATAACCCCTCAGGTTGAGAACCACCACTTTCAAGCATAGAATCCTAGGCTTTGGAGACTCCACTCTGAGGACACCCCAGCACATACCATCCTCACATCTCCTGTGCAGGGGTGTGGTGCCTCTTAGGGAGAGAAGGGGCTTCTCTTTAGCGCCCTTCTTAAAGACTAGGAAGGGGAAAGGGGCGCTCTCACCCACCGCCTACTATCTCATTGCAGAAGGAGGCGCTGCAGGTTGTACGGACTCCTGTTCACAGTCCAAACTTCAATGGCAGAAAGTCCTGTCCAGTCCCAACTTATGGACAGACATGACCCTCGTCCTGCACTGAGGTGAAGCCAAAGGCCAACAGATCATAGCGGAATCTGACCCACCGGGGCACCAGTAACCGACTGTAGTTGTGTGGTTATGGCCACTTAGGGAGGTTACTGACCAGAAGTGTTCTGATTTCAATAAATGCTCAGCAGCAGCCTATGGCTCTCATCATTAACAAAAGTTCTATGCTTCGCGTGTGTCTCAGAGAAAAGAGTGTGCTGAGTGTTGTCTGCCTGTTTCCTATGGAAAGCCTCCCAGTGAAGGAGCCTGCGAAGACATCGTTCTGGTAAGTGTGCTGGGCATGTCTCGAAAGACCCCATGCAAGCAGACACAAGGCCTCGGAGAGCTTTTATTGTGCATAGGTCTGGTGTGGTGACGTCACATCTGAAAAGGACAGGGTAGCACAAAGGAAGACAAAAACTGAAAACAGGAACGAGGCGCTCACAATAGACGGGTCGGAGTGTGAATGCTCTCGGTGTATTTTTTTAAATGAGAAACCGACAGGAAATTGAAGTGCGCACTTACATGCACAAAACCCCACCAACATTATGTACAGACATGATTACTGCAGTAGTTGGTTTCCAACTGCCCCATGTCAGATCAAGTGTCTCGAGTACACGGTTCTTAATGTTCTTTTATTCTGTAAAAGGTAACAAAATATACAGAACAAACTTTCCCTTTTGAGAACTAATGTTACAAACCCATATTATCACTTTATATAAATACTATTCTCTATAGCAGATCATTAGGTAGAAGTCCAACAATGTATGCTAACAGCAAGCACGGAAACCAAGTTTTCTAGCGGGAGGGTCCTGTACCGTACGCTCTCAAGGACCGCCGTGGACTCTGCCAGCGGTGTGGAGGAAGGAAACTGTGCGGGAGCGTGCTTTAGACTCAAATTGCAAAATCATTTTCACCCCTTAGAACACGGAGATGGATCCTTCATAGAAATCAAGAACAAAATCGATTTGAGCTCATTTCAAAACTAGGAAAAGTATGGCACCCAGGTGTGCGCCGCAGTGTGGTCCCTGCTGATGGTGAACCTTGTGTCACACGGGCCAGCCTGAAGTTATTTAGCCTTTAGAGGTATCCGAAATCCACTGTAATCCTGCTTAAAACAGGAAGTGATTCGGTAACTGTCATAAAAATCTGGCCTGTTTGGCACTATGATACAACTGGAAGTAACCAGGGGGGCTTCCACTGGGACCTGGTGTAGAACAGTTCTGCCCCAAAACTGCTCTTTGAGGGACTGGAACCTGTCAAGGGGGGTTCTAGACTTAAGAGTACTAAAGAGCCAAGGTGACACCCCCTGCCATGAGGTGCCCTCCACCCTGGGTCGTGGTGTGGCGTGGCCTTTACATGGCCTCGAACTCGTCAATCCGCTGCTTGGTGTTGCCCTGCCTGATCTGCCGCAGCGTCTTGTACTTGTCCCGACCTTGCCGCATGTTCTCGTTGTGGATGATGTCATTGTGGGTCCTCTTATTCTCATCCCGGGCCTGGGACAACTCGTTACTCAGGGTCTGCAACATGAAGCAAGGATCTGTTAACCTACCTGTCATGATGCTAACATAGTGATCCCATGGAGTGACCAGGAGATGAGAATACGGATGGACAGGAGGGAAGACCCTCCGCCCACTCACCAGCAGCTGCCGCTGCACGCGCTCGTTTTTCTCGGCCTCGGTGATCCGCTTCTCCTCGTTGCGGTCACCCAGGATGCCCTCACTGGAGAGCTCAGCGCTGTAGCCCATGGGCTCTGCACCCTCGTCATGCAGCCCCTCATGTACGTGGTAATTCACGGGTTCGTACATTGGGGGTGGAGGAGGTGGTGGAGTCGTCATCACCAGGTGCAGCTCTTCCTTGGTTTTCACCAGGTCATCCTGGGCTTCTCTGGCCTTTGGAGAGGAGACCATGGGTCAAATGAGAACTCTTTCCCACAGCCTGTGTTGTAAGAAGTAGCACGGTCTACCAGTAAGGAGCCTAGAGATCCTGACTCTCCTCGGCTCTCACAGGGGTGGCACCACCCAAGTGCAGAGTCTGGACACTCTGAATACCATGTCTTCCACCTAGACTCCTAGTCTCCAGCCTGGCAGCACCACCACCGGGAGAGTCTGTGCCTGCGTCTCATCCTCAGCCACCATCACCCTTCCTCTTAAAGAAGCCTTATAAATAAATGGCTTTCTTCACCTGCTTGCAATGGGCTGGAGAACATATATGGTAGAGATGGGAGATACAGGCCCGGGGCAGCCCCAGAAAGGAACCCCTAGAAGCAGGACATGTGGGAAAGGGGTCTGCCAAAGCACAGTGTTGAGTCCATGGTAAACACCGTATCACCTAGATGTCCTGGAGGACATGGGGATAAAGGTGGATCCAGGCACTCTTTCAGCCATAGCTGACTGACCCTAGGCAGGACACAACACTGCTGCTGCCCAGTCTGAGGAGCCTGGAGCCCTCCAAGGTTCTTCAGGACATTCCAACTGTCACATCCTGCTTCAAAGCTCGGTGACCCCTGCAGGGGGGCACCCAAGCAATTAGAATCAAAAACTCATTCCAGTTAGGGTGTCTGATCAAGGCTGAAGCGCGTGGGAGGCGGGAAAGGAATAAGCAGGCCTTTGTTCCTCTGCTAAGGCAATGCAGCGCTGGCCTGCTGTTCTACCTCTTCAACCAGGTCAAGATTTCCATCTCATTAACAGAGAAGCCATCTGCAAAGGGTTCTGAGAGGTTCCAGAAGCTTGTGATGTGACCTGCAGCTGAGCTAGAGCCCTTCGCAAGGCTTCCCCCACCCCATGGCTACGCAGGGTCTCTGGGGTCAGACTCACCCGGTGCTGCCACTGCTCCACCTCGTCCTCTTTGCGCCGCCGAGCCTCCTCCAGCAGTGCGATCTTGGCAGTGTACTCTGCCAGCTCGGCCGCCTGGAAGAGAGGGTGGAGTCACTCCTAGGATCCTTCTGGCAGAATCCATCGGTGAACCAACATTCACCGACAGGAATGAATGGCCTCCCCGGCGATGGCCTGCGCCCCCTCCTTCATGGCCAGGAGACCCTGCCGGCACCTCCCTGACTGGGGATGCACATGCGTCCAGCCCACCCCGCTCCCCGCGGCTGCAGATCTGCTTACAGCCCTAGCCGAAAGCTTTGCAAGGCAGGTGTCGCTTGCTTGGCTCCCCAGTAACAGCCTCTCCATAATTCAGCATCCTGAAACCAGGCAATCCTACCAGCTGCTCCTGGCTCTTTATCTGATCCTGTGCCTGTCTCTCCAGTTCCTCCTTGGCCCGAAGGGCAGCCACACGGTCGGCTTCCAGACGCTCAGACTCCTCCTGGGCTCGCCTCCTCTCTTCCTCCAGCTGGAGGGCCTTCTCAATCTGCTCCGAGAGCTCTGCAGGGAACATGGAGTCAGAACTGCTCAGACTCCCAGGCAAGAAATGACCTCAGCCTTCCATTCCCACTCCAGTAGGCTGAGGGAGACTGAGTGAAAACTGAACCCCAAACCCCCAAGTCCTAGACTGAGTCACGGGCTTGTGAGCAGGGACACCTCAGGGCTCATTCCTGCTGATGACCTAAGTGTGTGGAGACCACCGACAACACCCTGCCCCTGGGTGCACCCGCTGCACCCTCACCAGCTCCACCTCATCTGCACACTGGCTCAGACACAGAACCGGCCCGCTGGGATCTGGCAGGCCCCAGCAAGCACCATCTCCCTTCTATTCTAAGTGTCTTATAAGGGCAGGGCTGCTCCTGTGACCAGGGACGGATGGTGGAGGTGTCACAAGCTGGCTGTGGCAGCTGAGTATGTGCTAAGGGGATGTGGTACTGAGTCTAAAAGGTGTGGGAGTAATGTGTCCCACATCTCTGTCCTCACTGGAGCTTGACTGCAGGCTGCCTCTACCTCTCACTAAACAGTCTCAGGAAAGTAGTGGGAAATCAATTATGACAGGCGCAGACATTTAAAGCACAGGACCGCTGTCTAAACAGACACTCTTGATCAAGTCCCCTCTTGGCTGCGGGCCAACCCCAGTATGACTGTGGGGTGGGGTGGGAAGGGGCGGGCAGCCCGAGCTCCTGACCTTTCTCGGCCCTCTTGGTCTTCTGCTCAAAGTCCTGCAGCCGAAGCATCAGCTCCTCCTTCTCCCGCAGCATCTGTTCTTTCTCTCTCTCCACGGTTTCTCTCCTTTTTTTCTCCGTTTCCAACTGTTGTCTGGTAGAGGGAAGATGAAGGGGAGGATGAGGCAGGCAGCCCTGGACCTGGACACAGCTGCCGGCCTGCTACATCTCTGTTCTCTTGGGAGCCTGGATGGTTGATGACACACTGGGTGGCAGAGGTTCCTAGGGACAGTTCCTGTCCAGGCCTGGGCTCCCAGACACCTACAGATGGTGACATTCTACTGGGCTCTTTGGCCGCTCACCGCTCCAGCTGCTTCTGGTGCTTCTCCTCCCGGGCCTGGGCCTTCATCTGCTGCACCTCGATGGTGTCGGGCTTCCTGCGGCGCATGTACAGCTCATGGTTCCCCATGCAAAGCTGCAGAATCCGCTTGTTGATTCTCAGGCGTGGGGCGTAGAACACGAAGTCCTATGAAACAGAACAGGGTGGCCTGGTTGAACCCAGCTCCTCCTTTCCCAAGACCACACTTCAGAGTTCCAGAACCTTCTCTAACGGGCCAAATGCCACAGAGGATGGGGCCAGAAATGTTCACTCCCCATGGGGGCGTGTGTGTGGTCTGTGTATGAGCACGTGTGTATCCACTCACATACATATTTGTGGTCTATGCGTGGTATGCCTAGCGTGGGTTTGTACACACTAAATCTCGGTCTACGGCCTTCTGTCAAGAGGCCTCCCCTGTCCTGAGAAAGCAGGGGGGTGGTCATCACGGGCCCCCTAGTGTATTATGTTTTGGTGTCTGCCTCCCCAGCCCCTGCTGTCACCATCCTTCCATTCCTGGTCCTGAGCTGTCTGCCTCCTGCCAAGCCCATCACTATGCACACACTACTCACTGCCCCGATCTCCACTGCTCCAGATCCCCGAGCCAAGGATGCACCCCCATGTGAACTGAGCTGCACTGTCTCAGCACCTTCAAAGGGA